ATGGAATGACCCATGTGTGCAGCGAACACAGTGTCTTTTGATGTACCAGCAGTGGTGAGATTAGGGACACCGGGATAACCGCGCGGCTCATGATCGCGGTGTGTACGCAGGGAGCATTTGTCCCGGTGGTTGTCTGTCTGCTGACGTTGCCGTTTCTATCGCTCTGAACAAAACTAACGAAAATGTCTGAACCAGTTTCGAAAAATCCGCACAACTTCGCAGCGCTATATATTTGGGGGTGAACAAAATCGTATAAGTCGATGAATCGAGTACAGCTAAAACATTACAAATGTACTTTTAGGTTGCCCAGTTATCATACTCAAATATTATAAATGTAGTTTCAGGAAGAAAAAAAAACTATGTAGTGAAACCCACGTAAAGCGAATTATTGTCGATATCGGACTCATGGAAATTTTAAATAAAAATGCATGTAAAAAGTACGCTTTATAACGAACAACATATGTCTATATCGAACTTTTTCGCCGGAAAAGTTTCCAAAAACGCGCAAACAATAGTCTTCTAGCCTGTCCCTTCCCCCAAAAAAGTAGGAAAGAAAGAAAATTCCAGAAGCTCTAGTTGCGAAAAAAATTGAGCGAGGAGAAGCGATTCAGGAGAAAGCTAAAAAATACACTTGCACGCACGCACAGAAAAAAATATTTTTCATCCCAAAGCGTTTGCCCACGAAGAGAAGCGATTCAAAAGGAAAAATCAGCTACAAAAAAAAAAAAAAAAAAATCTCCGCCCGCATGAAAAAAAAAAAAATTACAGCGCGTTTTTACAATGCAGAAGTGAAGAGATGAGAAAGAAAAAGAAGTTCTCGCCTTACAACGAACGTATCGTGGAAGTTCGTTGTAAATGGTTTTCGCTATATCGAACTACTTACTATATCGAAATGATCGTAGCGTTTCCTGATGCTCGTTATAAACTGGTTTGACTGTATATGTTATATATAAATATATATATATATATATAATATTTTTGACGCTGCTATACCCAGAGATGGCACGACATAAAGCAAACACATGTATTCAGCAGATCCGAACTTGTGTGGTACTATCTGTAAATGTAGTAGCGTCAACCAACTTTTTCCGTACTTTGCGTGAAAAATACACTTTTTAGGCTTTATTTTTTTTCCAAACCGACTCGGAATTTTTGTACGATTAATGCACCACCTAAAGATTTTAGTTATACAATTTTTTGTATGCCCGCGCATAACGCTCAAATAAGTACTTTCCCATATATATATATATATATATATATATTTATATATATATATATATATATATATATATATATGGGTGGTTTCATCTCAAATCGTGCAGGCAAAAAGGGTCGAATTTTTAATTTCGATAAAAAAAATGTATGTTATGGCGCCGTTTTTAAAAACGCAGTCGCCGCAGACCGCAAGTTCGTCGGACTTTTTGTTCGCGACTTATGAATTTTTAAAGAGGCCGCGGCGAAAAGCAGTTTTTTCACACCCGTCGTGGGTCGGATGTTTCGCTTGATCTCCCGCCGTGGATTTTCAGTCCACATTATATTATCTTTTTTAAAGCACTCTGTGGACACATTTAAAAGGCTCCAATACCATAAAATAATTTTAGGCGTTTTGCTTTTTTTCTGTAAAAATGTCAAAAACGCCCCCTTGTTCAATTGTTGACGAACTTTGACAATTAATTACTGGCGATCTACTTGGGTTACATCAATACTTTTTATGTCCACGGAGAGCCCGAAACACGTTCTTTATATGTATTATAAAATAACTTGGCTGTATTAGATATTCTTTGCGGTACGTTTACGTTAATGTTATGTGAAAACCAAAAAGTACCATTTTTGAAATTGATTTTCTCAAAAAACCCATTTTTTATTTTTTTTATTTTTTGTTAAAATGTAGATGTGATAGTTTTCTATGCGAAAATCAAGTCTAGAAAGTGTATATTTTGTTTGTATGTTTTATATTTAAGCATCAATATCGTACAAAAACATGTTTTTACGGCACGAAATGGACTTACGAATTTCGCGTCTTCAAAAGTTTGGAAATAGTTTTTTTTTTTTTTTCAACGTTCCCACATAAAAATGAAATACAGTATTTCCACCCTGTTATATTTATTGATTATTTAAATTTTATTATAGGCGGCAAGCTACATTGGGAGGAGTTCCAAAAAGAGAAAGCAACACTTCTTAACAGACCAGCAGGTGTCGTAAATTTTTAACGTGTAGGAGTCGGCAGACGTCGTATTGATTCGGGGCCCTCATTGGCCTGCATGAACGTCCCGCCCTTTCGGAGCCAGCAGATGACCACGACCTTTCGCGCTCGTTGTGTTAGATGGGACGGCCCGTGACAGTAAAGCGAGCAGCGCACCCTGTGTCACGAGGAGTGAAATGGTACGATTGTGTCGTTGACGCGGCGAACAGTGACAGCCACCCAGGAGGAGTCAGTCAGAGTATTGCACAAGGGAAAGCAAAGGAATCGTTGCCTGAAAGGATGAGGACACCATGGCCTTACAATATCGACGGTCAACAACTGTTCTGCCAGCCAAAACAACGCCGCGTGCGCGCTAAAACCGGCGGCGCGGGACAGAAATCCCACAGACGCACCCACGAAGATGGGCCGGTTTCGTTAGGGATGTGGGGAAATTTGAAACCAGCCATCCGTGCATGCGTGAAACGATACCGCCTGTTTGCCCCAGCCTCGAGCGCCCTATCCTTACCTTGAAACGGCCGTGCTGTCTCTCTCTCTCCGGGGAGATCCGATAGCACCGAAGGGTTATCTATTAAACTTGAGGAAGAAAACGAGAAGGGGCTGTTTAAGATTAATTATCCCCACCAACCCGCTCATTCTGTCCTTATAAAGGGCTATCTCTTTTGGAAACAGCAAAGCCCGGAGACTGACATTAAAACGAGCGTGTTGGTAAATATACTTGTGTTTGTATTTTGCCCGGAGACTAGTTGGGTCGAAGTCAGCCTCCTTGTCAACTATAACCGTTTGTGAAGAGTGGGCTTCTCCCGAGATGAAAAGTCAGCGCCGGCTGACGTGCTCTTTTGAAAAAGGGATGGGGAAAGAGAAAGTTTGAGTAACTGCAGAAACTACCTCGAAAGCTCCTCTCCCGATATGAAGCTTCAGGCATAGTCTCGGTTACCTTCTCGCGCATCGCCTGCTCGAATCTATTCTTCACTTTCTTTCGCACAGCCACTGTTCCTCACAGCCGTCGTGGATGTGCGTAACAGAGGGAAAAACAGATTCGAGCATCATCTGGACGCCGTCATCCTGCCAGACTTCAGTGTCGTGGGACCGACTCGTGTGTGTTTCTTCGCCCCGCTGAACTTAGTTTCTCGGGTGCGTTTTTGAACGTTTTTTTTTTTTTTTTCAATGTTTTCTTACTAACTGTTTGTTAGCACTGTTCAGTTGGGTTTATTTTGTCATGGCGTAGCGGCCTAGGCGGTGATGTAGAGAGCGTGTTCGCACGCATTTGGTTGCGTCCCATTTAGGGAATGCCCGGAGGAGTTGGTTTATCTTCTTGCCATGTGCGGCTGAGTTTTCCCGTCTTTATTAAATTATTGATTTTTTGTTTGTTTTACCTTTACGTGCCGTCGACTTCTTTGTCTGACTCTCCACCAGGCGTGGACCTATCGTCTTGCCACCACTCCAACCTAAATACTTTATTTTTTTTTAACGCAATTTTCGTTAAGATAGCAGTTGGGCAATTTAATTCCTATTTATTTATTTTTATTTCCTACCCCTCTCCATGACACACTCTCTGTGTGTTGCGGACCGTTTCTGTGTCACCACTTTTGTGTATTACGGAAGTGAAAGGACATTCCCTGGTGACCTGTGCGATGTGCGGTGAACAAACCCCCAGTGTTTGGTTCCGGAAAGAATTGTATATAACAAATCGACGGATGTGGTGACTTTCTTTGTCTCAGTAATATGACAGCTATTAGCTAGTCGTGCTAGTTTACTGTGAAAGGTTTATAAATCGAAACAATGCAACGTCTGTGCCTTTTGGTTATTCAAAGTCTACTAGGCCTGCTGATTTGGTTAGATATGTATCTCGTGGTTCCCGCTCTTATCAAAACATACATAAATATTCAATACCACAAAATTCGTTTATAATTGATTACAAAATGCAGAAGAAAATTTAAGAAAACTTTTTCACAATTCATAGAGACGCATGGGTCGGAATGTCTGACTTGGGTCTTGCAAAACAAAGACGTTTTTTTCCGATATTGAGGCCTAAATATAAAACATACAAACAAAATATACACTTTCTAGACTTGATTTTCGCGTAGAAAACTATCACATCTACATTTTAACAAAAAATAAAAAAAATAAAAAATGGGTTTTTTGAGAAAATCAATTTCAAAAATGGTACTTTTTGGTTTTCACATAACATTAACGTAAACGTACCGCAAAGAATATTTTATACAACCAAGTCATTTTATAATACATATAAAGAACGTGTTTTGGGCTCTCCGTGGACATAAAAAGTATTGATGTAACCCAAGTAGATCGCCAGTAATTAATTGTCAAAGTTCGTCAACAATTGACCGAGGGGGCGTTTTTGACATTTTTACAGAAAAAAAGCAAAACGCCTAAAATTATTTTATGGTATTGGAGCCTTTTAAATGTGTCCACAGAATGCTTTAAAAAAGATAATATAATGTGGACTGAAAATCCACGGCGGGAGATCAAGCGAAACATCCGACCCACGACGGGTGTGAAAAACACTGCTTTTCGCCGCGGCCTCTTTAAAAATTCATAAGTCGCGAACAAAAAATCCGACGAACTTGCGGTCTGCGGCGACTGCGTTTTTAAAAACGGCGCCATAACATATATTTTTTTCATCGAAATTAAAAATTCGACCCTTTTTGCCTGCACGATTTGAGATGAAACCACCCATATATATATATATATATATATATATATATATATATATATATATATATATATATATATATATATATATATATATATATATATATATATATATATATTCCCCTCGATGCCATTGTTCGCCCAGCTGTTCGGCGTCGCGCTCCTCGTGCTCGGAGGCTTGCTCGCTGCCGACCTGAATGTCCGACAGGTCAGGGAGTTCTTCGACGTCTTCGACAACTACGGCGCAGCCAGCATCCTCACGCTCGTCGTCGGATCCTGCCTGTTCTGCATCGGCTTTCTGGGCTGCTGCGGCTCCTTCTTCAAGGATTCGCTCCTGTTGATCCCGGTAAGATATAGCACATTTTCACGGTTCGGGAAAACTCTTAAGGCTGTCCATATTAGTAAACAAAAATTACAAGCAAGGATGTTCAAAGTCCTATATATAATGCAAAGAATGCAGCATTCAAGTGTTTACTATTTCCCCCGCTATATTTAGCGGGGAAATCGACACCCAAGTGACCTCGTGGTCACGTGATGGCGATATCCCACTGTCTGGTAACATCAAGGAGTATAGACCTTTTTCGCAAGGGCGCCGCCATTTTGAATTGTCACTTCCAGTATGGGTGAAAACATTGTTTCGCCGTCGCCACGCCAATAGAAGGTATTTAGGACATAAACGTAACAGCCACACCATTCTCGTTCTGCCTCCGCTCTATTTTTTTACTATTTGCAGGTTGAAACGTTTTGAAATTTTTTCGTCGCCCATACCGGTTGGCGGCCGGGGCCAGAGTAAGTGGAAAGAGTCTATAGAAGGGTAGGAGAGGGCATGACATCAGCCGCGTAGCCTCTACAGGCCATGGTCCCTTGACGCCTCGCCTCTTTCTCAATTTCCACCTTACTCTCCTCACTTATCAGCCCAACCCCAACATGACCACATCACGTGACCGTAGCTAGCCTTCGTCTAGCCTTCGATCTGATAAAACCTACCGGACGGAGCGCGCGCAAGCCTGCAAGGAATCCTTCTACAATCAACCATCCATCTTGCACGTGACATGTCACGCGCACCAATCGCCAGAGAGATCTGCGGTCACGTTGGCCACAATATCGTTTAAAATTGTTATGATTAGGCTTCACCAATATTGCAAGTTCGTGCCCCCTCCTAGTACTTACAACCTCCTTGGGTAACATAGAGGTTATTCGCCGGATGCCATATTTGAGGGCGATGTTTAGAGCGCATGCTCAGAACGAGCTCACAGTAATAGGCTGCCAAGATAGGCGATCTTGATGGTGTGGAATGCACGTTGCTCAAGAAGTGTAGAGGCTCGCCGTCGGCACGCGCTCAGCAGTCGCGCACACAGCTATGGCAGCCGGTAACAAGAAAGACAGGGCCAGGGGGGAAGGGCGCGAGCGAGAAAGGCCTATTAGCCCCGTGCGCGACCGAAAGCGTTGCTGTGGTCGGCGTTCCACGATTGGCCGAACGCTGACTATGACGTAGGAAAGGGGATTTATCATCGACGGAAATAAGAGGAATGAAAGAACTTTAATTTTGATGGCGTTGGCAGTGTTGCTTTAAGAGCTCAATGATTTCAAGCTTCCACCATGCTATTTACGAACACCATCGAACTGGTTGTTTGCAAGGTAATGACGTAACAAGGGGGAACCATAGGAGGGCGCCACCAAAACATCTCGCCGCTAATATTCTGTTTCACCTTGTGATGTACCGCAGGAAAGGCTACAAGCGTGAGCCCCTTGCTCTGGGACACATCTCGGCGGCACAAGCTCTCATGACTTAAGAGCGGGTGTCAACGCTATGAGCTCGCGCTTCTAGCCTTCGCTGCGGTACAACATAAGGTGAATCGAACTATAGGCTATGTGGTTGTTTGTTTGTTCCTAGGCTAGGTGGTTGCAAGCTCCGTTACAAAGGCTAAAGTTATAAGTATCCATCCATCCATGGTACCATGACAGGACGTGACACCGTAACATCACTGTGTCACGCGACATCAATTTTCCCACAAATTTTAGAGGGTAAATATACGCCAGTTTCTCAAGTCGTAGTGTCACGTGATAACTGAAACGTGACACAGAATTTCCCGCTAAATTTAGCGGGGAAATGCACAGGCGGGCGAGAAGACAAAGTTATGGAATTGGGGGTTCCATTAAAGGGGCGGTGCAGCGATTTTATGATTAAAAGAATTTGCATCTCGTCATTTCTACGTTGTTTATCGTGTCCCAGAGGATAGAGAAAACATTTCCTTCATTAAAAATGTCGCGATTCCTCTGCATAATCGCAAAGCAAAAGTCGAGCTTTTTCCCCCACCTGCAGCCCCAAGTGGCAGCCGAAGGAACTACGGCGGAAAGATTACGTGACTAGGGGTGTCGCGAACTTTTGTCGAACCAGATTTTTTGGTCGAACTTTCGGGGTTCGACTGGGTCGAACCGGGTCGACGAACCTTCGAACTTTTAACCAAATTCGACCGGTTCGACTTAGTGGACAGTGTGGCCAGACCTTTATAAAAGCATGTCTAAGTTTGGAGAAATTTTTTTATGCGAAGGGTTATTTTTAAATTTATGAACAGTTGCAATTAAAGAAACCAATTCTAATCACTGAAGAAGTTATTAACTTAATTGTTTTGTGCTGTATTAACTGAAATAACCAATCAGCGCTGCACTTCATTCATCTCTTAGCCATTATCATCCATTATCATCATCCAACTGGCCAGCCTGTCGCGCATGCGCACACGAGTCGAACCTCAATAGAAGGTTCGTCGAAATTTCCACTAAAAGTTCGAAAAAGTCGAACCTGGTCGAACTCGAACCGCGGCCGGTTCGCGACACCCCTATACGTGACCTCGCTCGGCTCTAAGCTGCAGCGTAGCGCCCGCTAATGTACGCAGAGAGAGGGAGAGGAAGCGTCCTCCGAGATAGCACACGGGAAGCTACACGGCACTCCGAATGACGTCACTGGGAGTGCGACCAGGTGTGACCCTGAAGACTGGGAGTGAGTTGAGGGGTGCCCGAAATACCAATCTTTATCTTTTTTTTACGCAAAAACTAGGACACGCAGGCGAAATCGGTTTTCTGTTCTTTACCTCAGAAGTGTCAGGGGGCAACTTCCAGAAATCTTTGACCGAAGTCCGAAAATCGTTGCACCGCCCCTTTAAAGGTGGAAGCCCACCCACGGTGGAGATAAAAAAGAAACAAATATGAGCGGTGAAGGTGTATAGTAACCGGAGACACGAACAATAACAAAAACGGAGAAAACAAAAAAAGTTGAGACTGGTTTTGTTCGTTTTTTGTATTGTTCCGTACCTCCGGTTTATATTCACCAGCTCGCCTGTGTATTTGCCCCTTCCTCGACAAAATATGAGTTAGGCAATCTTTCTGCCTTGGGCATACGATCGGGATTTTACGGTAGCTTCTATAGTGAGGCCACTAACGCAAGGGCAAACGCATCCAGAATTTCTAGTCAAGCTCCACAAAGGGTAGCCTAATTGGCAGGCGCAATATCAAGGTTGTGTAGAATAGCTTGAAAATTCTACATCGACAATAGTAAATAGCGATTGAAAAGCCAGAGCGCTTAACGCTTTCAATCGAAGGAGGACAGCCACATTAAGGGGTTCATCATAAATACTGTCTTCGTAGAAAGAAGAAAAAATAGCTTTTCATAGAGATTTTCTATGAGCATTTCGGCGACCATTGATTCATGTAAATGAACCATGAAATGATATTGGGTTCCTATTTTACAAACGGACACGGCAAAAAGGAACACCCTAATCCTACAGTAAGTTACGGGTCAAGAAGGTAGCGGCAAACGCCCCTCAAAGGGATTTATATATCGCCTCCGCCACCTCCGCATCCAATAGCGTCCCATCGTTTCCGTGACGCCGCGGCAAACGCGGGAGTACGGTCTTGCCTTCCTTTAAATAGAGAGTTTTAGCAGATCGTTTTTTCGCCCCGATAAAGATACCTTCTCTCCCTTCCGGCGGCCTTCGGCATGCATCGTATCGTTATCGGGTGTCGTTATCGGTACGAAAAAACGATCTACTAAAATTCTCTAATATTTGCCTTATCTTTCGACTTTGACTCAGCGTTGGGGAAGCCACGAGACGGAGATTAGAGTTTTCCCCTCCGTTGGAAACAAATACGACTTTCGGGGGGTTAGGTTCCCCCTCCGATGGATACAAAGGCTACTTTCAGGGGCTAGTTCCCTCTCCAATGAATACAAAGGTCGTCTGGGGGTTGGATACACGTTGGCATCACTCTGTATCCATTATCTATTCATTGAACGGAACAAGGGGATTTCCAGTGAACTGTACTTCCGACCGCGGAGGGATTTGAAACGGGCGCATCACGCTTGTGGGAGGAGCTTTCCCTACCTTCTTGTAACCGAATACAAAAACAAAATTCGAGATTTTTTTTTCTTTTTTTTTCATTTTAAACAAAATTTTGAATTTTCAAAAATAATGTTATAAATAACAACAATGTAATAATGTATTCAAAATATGCTAATACACAAGCCACAGTCTACATTTTCAATTGTTACGCACGGAAAGGGAAAACCGAACTAGTTACATCGCTTTAGATATATACAAGCTGTTTGTTTTTATTTCGAACAGATTAAAAAAGGATGAGGATTAGACGAGTGCAGTCTTCACAATATTTATCAGGCTCGGCGGACGTAATGAGGGGACCAACACCAGGCAAGGTTGACTAATTAAGCAAAAATATCCTAATTAACTTTTTTTCTCGGTTATAGGGTTCATGTTGCAATTGCAGTACTGACAATTCCTCAAAGAGACTAGACCAATTTAAAGGATTTGTAAAAAGGTAACTTCTTTTGTTTGTTTGTTTTTTTAAATTAATCGGTCAATGTTCTCGGTGTTTTTTTCCCCACAAGCCCTGTCCGCAATGACACTTAGAAGAGTGACGCAGTCATTAAGTCGCGTCGCCACTTGTATCGTCCGCGCACCCACCAAGGACATGCTCTTATTTCTTTTTTTTGTAACCACAATATTGAAACTGCGTGAAAACATTTGAACATTGACCCCTCTCACCCGCAGGTAAGAAGCACTGACCATTTTTTTTTTGTCACTTTCTTACATTTTCGAGTGCACTGCTGCCGAACTCAGCAATCGCGTGTTGTCCTATCGCTGTGAAACCTTGAATTGCAAGCATGGGCAAAGAGATCAAAGAACCTAAAGCTTTTGGGGATCTGCGCAGTGAGGTCACAGCAGACGCTCGGGGCGTGAAAGAAAGTGTTCGATTCAGTAGAGACATTTACGACAACGTCAAAGAACTTCAAAAATGAGGTGAAAGAACCGCGTCAAAAGATTCAGCAACTGTCAA